CTGGGAGTAGGCGGCGAGGACGTCGGTGGGGAGGGCGGCGGTGGCGAGGGAGACGGAGGCGTTGGCGAGGGTGGCAGTGAGGGTGGCGGTGGGGAGGGCGGCGGTGGGGAGGGCGGCGGTGGTGGCGGTCGCGGCGTCGAGGGCGGTGGCGGCGGGTACGCGCCTTGCACCAGCCCGACCGGCACATTCCACAGCAGGAACCTGCGCGAGGAAGAGTTAGGGTTAGGGTTAGGGTTAGGGTTAGGGTTAGCACATTCCACAGCAGGAACCTGCGCGCGGGAGACCCCAACAGCAGGGCGGGTATTGTGTGGTGTATTGTGTATTCAGAGCACCGCGTGAACGCGAGGGAGGCGAGTGCAGCCGATTGCCGCCGAGTACGCCGGAAGTCAGTTGAATCTCACCTCGAGCGCTGGCTGGAGTACAAGGGTCCTCATTCCGCTTCTAGGCTCCGTGCTGCCAGATACGGGGAGATACGGGGGGAGATATGGGGAGATCTTCCGCTTCTAGGCTCCGTGCTGCCAGATACGGGGAGATACGGGGGGAGATATGGGGAGATCTTCCGCTTCTATGCCGCGGGCTGGAAGACACGAACACGTCTTTCCGCTTCTAGGAGCAAGAACAGCGCAATCGAGCAGATGCCCGCGAGGACAGAGTAGAGCAGTCTGCGGCGCGACGAGCGCGCCTAATGGATGGTAATGCGTGCTCATTAGTGCTAATGAGTGCTAATTCGTGGACGGCGGGACGAGCGCGCCAGGTTGCTCCACACCGCGTCGCGCAGCTGCGGCGCCGCGGTGGAGTGGACGAGGACGTCCGTCGTGAAGAGCGCGCCTAAAGAAGTTTCTCGGAAGGCTCTCGGAAGGCTCCATGCACCGGCAAGTCCGTGGGTGAGAGAGCGCGCCCAGCTGCTCGCAGGTGGCTGCGGCGCGGCGCGTGCGGAAGACGGCGACCAGCGTCGCCTCGCGCTCCTGCCCACCAGCAGAACCCTCGGTCAGTCTGACAGTCCTGACAGTCTGCCTCGCACGATCTGCCTGCCACCTCCACCTCTCTCACTGGTGGGACAACCGCCGCGCTCCTCAGACTGCGATCTCGGCTCCTCTCGGCTCCTCTCGGCTCCTCTCTGCTCCTCTCTGCTCCTCTCTGCTCCTCTCTGCTCCTCTCTGCTCCTCTCTGCTCCTCTCGGCCCCTCTCGGCCCCTCTCGGCCCCTCTCGGCCCCTCTAATCCTCCTCTCGGCCCCTCTCGGCCCCTCTAGTCCTCCTCTCGGCCCCTCTCGGCCCCTCTAGTCCTCCTCTCGGCCCCTCTCGGCGTCTCCTCGCGCTCCTCGCTCTGCCACGCGCCCGTGAGCATCGAGACGGCGTCCTCCTGCGTCCGCCCGAGCAGCGCGCGCCTAGCAGCTCGCCCGATCTCGTCCGATCTCGGGTGACCTCGTCCGATCTCGCCCGATCTCGTCCGATCTCGGGTGACCTCGGGTGATCTCGTATGATCTCGGGTGATCTCGTATGATCTCGGGTGACCTCGTATGATCTCGGGTGACCTCGGCAAACCGCTTCCGGCGCCTCGGCGAGATATGCCGCGCCGCATCTCGGCCAGATCTCGGCTAGACCTCGGCCACACCTCGGCCACACCTCGGCTAGACCTCGGCCGCATCTCGGCCACACCTCGGCTAGACCTCGTCCGCATCTCGGCCAGATCTCGGCTAGACCTCGGCCGCATCTCGGCCAGATCTCGGCTAGACCTCGCCAGGTGCGGGTGACGGCGAGCTGTCCGCGCGCCCGCGTTGCGCGCTCGCTCGACTGGAACTCCTCTTGGTCGCAGAGCGGCGCCTGCGCGATCTCGGCGCGATCTCGCGTCAGCTCGCTGCGATCTCGGCCCGAGCGAGCGGCGGGGGAGGAAGGGAGGGAGAGAGGGAGGCACAGGGGGCGCTGGGGGTCAGCGTGAAAATCAGATGCCTGGCCGTAAGGATACGACTCTTCACACTCATCCCGCCACACACCTACGTTGCCTTGCTGCTGGTGAGCTCTACGGAGGCGCATTCGGCCGCGCTTCCCTCCGCC